GACATCATCAAAGAAGCACTGCCATTCCAGAGCAGAATCAAATGGTCAGATTTTGATTAAAGATTACCAAACAACATTTGTTTTAGTGGATTAACTTGCACATCAATTGTTCACTTTAAGACTATCAGTGTTTGCTAGCAACATTTTCAATTTTGATTTTATGTGGACTTTAAAGGGCACCTAGTTTACCCCTTTTTTCAAATTTAATATAAGTCTTTTGCTTCTCTAGAATGTGTATGTAAAGTTTCAGCTCAAAACAACCATACGATTTTTCATTATACCTTTTCAGCAAGCTTGAACTTTGCACGGTAGCAACCTGCGAAACTTAACACATGACCCTGCGTTTCCGGTCTGACGTATTTGCGTGCGTATGAATTTGAGTCTATGGGAGGAAAAGCCCAGTGTGACCGCAGCTTTAAAGGAAGAAGGTCTCACGCAGCGTTTGTGAGAAATACTACAGTAAGAACTTTACCAATGAGTACTTGTTGTGCAGTTGCATTGATGAGTGACACGCAATATCGTTACAAAGTTCACGCGCGCGCACACACACCGCAGGAGACGCACACATACAGACAGACAGAGCGTGCTTAGCTTAGCACTGTTTTAGCATGAAAATGTGTCAGGATACAGGCTAATCTCAACTGCTGTATGGATATCTGTAATGTACAAAATAAACCTGATTTAACGTCCACAAACTGGGACTGAAGCGCCTTCTTTCATAATTGTTCTGACACGCACGCGGCTGTGCTGATGAAGTAAATCGCTGTACTTTATTACACATATGCTCTGTTTTAAAACATTTTAAACATTTGAAACTTACTCTTGATCATGTTTGATGATGATTGATGATGCTTGGGAACTGAACAGACCTTTATATTCCTGGTTGCTTTGCGCACGTCTGGTCTTATTGACATGATTGTACACGTGACTACTGGGACATGCTAAGCTGTCAATCAATTCGGTGGGCGGGGGGACCGCACTCCTCCGTCAAGTTGTGGTCGGTCTGAAAACCACTCCAATTGGTCCACCATTTTTATGTTTTTAAATTGGAAAAAAAAAGGACTGGGTGTGTTAATTTCACCCCAATATGACAGTCTATACACTATATACACACATGTCTGTCCAAACAGCTTGAAAAGTAGATTTTTCACCATAGGTACCCTTTAATATCTAATTATAATCCTAAAGACTATTTATTAAAAATTCATGCAGATTGCATCGTTATCTCTTAAAGGAACACAGTGATGTGAAACAAAACATGAGATGGGGGAAAAATGCATCCTATTCTTTTTTTATTTAGTTTCCAACCTGGAAGGGGAAAAAAGGAGAAAACAAGTGACTTTTATGTAACAATTCAGATTTTCATTTATTTATTTATTTATTTATTTATTTGTAATTAGGAATTTATATCTCAAAATTCTGATGTGTCTTTTTTCTCAGTACTGTGACATATGTGGAATTCCGAGATTAAAATTCATAATTGCACTAAATAATATTTGAATTGCACTAAAACATTGAAATAGTAATAGAAAAAAAGTCTGACTTTTGTCTCTTCAATTCTGAGTTTATGGCTAACAATTCTATTTCTAACCATAATATTGAACATTAGATTTAGTATTTAAAACATTAATATATAGATCTCTAGCTGTTTCCATCTAAAAATGCTAATCAGGTTTATGTGCAAAACTGGATTATGGCATAAAAGACGTGCAAATAAAGCAGCGCTTCCATCCAACGAGTCAAAGCAAACAAAATTGCCACTTCCTGATTAACTGGCGCCAAATATCAATAGTAAAAAAAACATAATTTGCTGCGGTAGAAGGAAGCTGTGTGAATATTTTCTTGATTTAATAAATGACTTGCGCCTCAGAAAGCAATCATGACATACAGTGAACGTATGGTGGCGTTGGAAGGCGTGAGACGTGGAGCACAGACGCTCTTGAGAGTTCTGAAGGTCATTAATAATATAATAACACTGATACTGAAATGTTTAAGGCATTTTAAAATGACCAAATATTAATATATATAATATAGGCCTATTAATATAATATATTTATTGAATGAAATGTTTATCCTACTCAGTTTGCGCATATGTTTTTTATGCGCATTTTCAAAATGTATGCGCAGTTTGGCGTTTCATCAACTGTTTTTTCAACCGCATTTCTAAAATGCGCATAAAAATAGGTGTATGGAAACTATTGATTATTGCGTTCACTATTGTAGATCAGTAATTCCAACAGTTTCTCTGAATATTGAGAACTCAGTCAGAAATATATATATATATATATATATATATATATATATATATATATATATATATATACTTTTTTATTTTAAAACTTTTGCAGTGGAAGTGAAACGTTTTGTGAGCAAACAAACTCTGTGGAACATCTACATTGCAAAATGACTTGAAAATTATTATTGCGTTTTTAAAAATATTAGCTACTTAAACTTTGGTAAAATGATCCTTAGGAAAATTCATGAAATCAAAAACACAAGAAGCTTAATTAAGGTCGATAACGTCATGATTGCTCTGCTGTGTATTGACCAATCAGAAACCAGGACCAGAAAATGCCCTCTTCTGAAGTACTTTACCAAACTCCCAGTGGATTTGGGCCAGAACTCCTCTTTCTTTTCCCAGTCAGTCTCGCTGTGCTCCTTCTCCATGCTTTCGTCCCCACTGTAAGCTGTTAACTGAGGCAGTCTGTAGGCGGATATCGCGACGCTGTGGCTACGGTATCGCGTCGAGGAGTCCAGCTGATCTACGTGAGTTTGACGCAGAAGATTTTCTGCGCGCTGAATGGAGCGGACAGTCGCGTCTCTCCAGCCTTTAGGTCCCACAACCACCGCCTGAGGAGCAGACTGAACCCTCCGCTTCATTATCACGGTAACGTTAACTATTACAGGTTCACCATCAGTTGAACAATCCGAAAAACTTCAGACTGTTTGGGTTTAAAAATGTTGGCGTCACCAAAGCAACAGTTCCTCAAGTGACCGGGGACGCGCAGCGCATTGAGCTCTGATTGGGTAATGAAGAAATGAATGAGCGTCAGTGGAGAGGCAGTTCATTCAGATCTATTCACACTGCAACTCAATCCCGTTACACGATGACCTGCTGCTGCGATTAGTCTGTCAAACTGTGTTAATTATTCATATATAATAGGATTTGATTTGACGGGTGGAGACGAGAAACATTACTACATAATTTATCTTTTAATCAGATCATTTAAAGGCATAGTTCACCCTAAAATGAATATTCTGTCATCGTTTATTTACACATTACTTGTTTCAAACCTCTATGAGTCTCTTTCTTGTGTTGAACCCAATAGAAGATATTTTGAATAATCTCCACAGTAGGAAAAGCAAATACTATGCAAGCCAATGGTTACAGGTTTTCAGCATTCATCCAAATATATTTTGTTCAAAAGAAGAAACTAATAAATATTGGAAACCACTAGAGGATGAGTAAATTATCATTTTTGAGTGAACTGTCCCTTTAAAAAAAAAAAAAAAAAAAAACTTACATAAAATTGTTTAAAAGTTAAATTAAAAAGTTAAGTTTAACGAATACTTTTTAATATATAAAATACCTATAATATTAATAATAAAATAATATTATATATATCGTTCTTGAACCATTTAAAAAAAATGTATATACTGTACCCCTATATTATATATAATTTTATTATATGATATAGTAGAGCAATTCCAGCATTATGGATGTGACATTTGCAGTAAAATCTCAAAACATAAATTCACACAAAAAGAATATGTAAACATTATATTAAGACATCGGTTTATATTTTCCAAAACTACTAACCACAAAAAAATGGGAGCAGAAAAATATCAATCTGTAAAAAATTTTTATATTTTAAATGAAGAAAATAAACGTGTTTTTGGGTGTGACAAAAAAAAATGTGAGTTTACAGTATAAAACATGCTTTGTAGAAATTCAGTGAATTAAACTGCACAACCCAAAAGAAATGATACTAATTAAAAAGATAAGAGTTAGCTCACTATAGAACACAAACGATTGATTTTCTTTTATTTGACATTTTTTGCATTAATGAGGAAAATGCTCCGTTATGGATGTGACGTCTCTCAGATGTGAAATTGGCACTAATGTGACTTTGGTAAATCAAACATAATTGTTTGAAAACATTGACAGACATTTTGAGTATTTTTAAAGCACTGTGAAATACTTGCGTACACAAAAAACGCAGAAACGATTTCAATATCTTGGCAAAAAGTAAATTTTTTCATGGTAAGGTTGACTTTTGCATGGAATTGCTCAGTAATTATTTGATATACACAGAAACTTTATTAAACTGAAGGTGTTTATTTTAATGTAAAACTAAAATAAAATGTCAAAATATGGGTAAAAAAAATTTTGTTTTGTCATGGTGCAAAATACTTATTCTGACTTAAAAAAAAAAATCTAAAAAGAATAAATATAATTAAAATAATTAGAAAGTCTTTGCCGACAGATGAGTACAGGATAGTGGGAAGTTGTAAACTAAAGATTAAAATTAATCTTTTTCTGTGCGCTGATTCCAATTCACATAAAAAAGTGGATGCAAATATGAAGCATTGTTACTATACTCTAAGATGCATTTTAAATGTATTTGATGTTTTATATTTTTATTATAGTCTAAATGTATTTTATTCTGTGATTTTTAAATAGTCTGTCATTAAATAAATTGCTCTTAGTAGGATTTTTTTTTTTAAATATGAAGTATTATTACATTGAATAAACTAAAAAGTATATGCAAAATGTTTTTATAATGTTCGTGTATTTGACTATATATTTTTTGTAGTAAATACTAAAATTATTTATAACAAATATTTATAAGAACCATTGACATTTCAAGGGTTTATCAGTACAATCCTATAGAGAGAGGATGTCTATAAATATATTTACCTTCAGATAGATTTATTAAATAAAGTCACAATGGTGTCCAGTGATTTCTAACATAAGTAATGATCACAAACTACACTCATCGAGATATTTGAGGCTTTATTGTCAATTACACCCCTGAGTCCTTGAGAAAGAACCTTTAATATTTCCGACATAAAAGAAAAGCTCCAACAAAACTCTGAGAACCCACACAAACTTATCTTTGAATGTAATTTATGAGGTATGCAGCAGGTTGTGGGGAATCCAGCATACCCAAATAAAATAAGATTAAAACAGTCTGTAAATCCTTCTATTGTGAAAAGAAAAAAAACAAAGGCCTACAGTATAGAACAAAAACAGCACATTGCAGATGGGGCCGAATAACTGCATATCCAAAACAAATCAACAAGAAAACATTTAGAAATACAAGACAACCATGAGATAACAGAGAAAAAAGACAAGTGAAACAATAAGAGAAAAGCAGCGTTCCACATATTTAGCGGTCATAAATAATAAAAACGATTTATTCATTTAATAATATTTAAATGCTGTAAAGATTCTGAGCTATGGAAAAATTATTATTAGCCTAAATAAAGCAAGTTTGAATATGATAAAGTCTAAATATTTCAGTATTGCAAGCGCAATCTGGAAGTGTGGGTAGTAATCAGAACATTTTATTGCTGCGCTCAATCTAAATGACTAAAGAACCCGTCGGAAATTCATATGAACTAAAAGAAGACATCATAATACACCCCCAACCTCCTCAAACGTTGAGCAATTGGTCAAAACATGAAAGTCATTATTCATAAATTTGGTGTCTAAACCTCCTCAATTAAACTAGAGAATTCCCGTCAGTTTAACTAATAGATACAATAATCTGCTCAGAAACGGAACCAGAGCTGCAGATCTTCATTTCTGTTAGTTTAGTGCAGCACATTGTAAGACTTTATCATGAAAATAGTGCCATTTGCTAGAGAATATATTCATTTAATTAGTTATGAAGTTCAGTGTATGACTAAACTCACAGTGTGTGTTCAATCACATGCTCATAGTGTGTGTTTGAGGGCTGTTTTGGGTCCCAGTTTACTGGAGATGTTTTGTTGTAGCTCCGTCAACACACCGTCCCGCTCTTCTAGCTCCAGAAGAACTTGCTATGAAGGGCAAGGCCAAAAACAGTCACAGATTGTATAACAACCAGCCATATTAAAAAGCTTAAATAATAATATTATTACTATTATAGGTAGAAGACTGACCTCTATGAGTTGATCCCTCTTCTGTAGATTGTCTCTGAGTTTTCCTTCCTCGAACGCTCTCTCCTTATTTTCCTTCTTCCATCCCAGTTCGGCCTCCTTCCTCTCCTTGGCTTTCTCTCTCAGCTCTTTGAGTGTGTTTTTGAGTTGCTCTGACAGGGCAGTGATGGCTTGTTTGTGATTTTCTCTTTGCTCCTGAAAGAGTGTGGATGCATAGTGATAAACAATGAGGAAACGGACTTTAAATGTGTACACTGATTCAGATTCATGGGGCATACTTCAGAAAGTTTATCATCTTTGGTCTTAACCATATTTTTTGTTGCTATTTCAGCGCAGAATTTTGTACAAATAATCTGGGGATTTTACCTTTAAAAAATAAAAATAAAACTAAAATTTTGACTTGGTTACTAAAAACTTAATGAATAAAAAATTATATATATATATATATATATATATATATATATATATATATATATATATATATATATATATATATATGTGTGTGTGTGTGTGTGTGTGTGTGTGTGTGTGTGTGTGTGTATATATATATATATATATATATATATATATATATATATATATATATATATATATATGTATCTATATCTCATCACGCATCTGGTGAAACTGTATTCATATCGCAATATATACCACAGAAAAACAAAATATCGCAATGTCAGTTTTTTCCAATATCGTGTAGACCTGGGGTCCGTTCTTCGTATGTGGATTACTCAGTTAGCTGGATTTGGATATTGACGATTTGACATGATCCAGGATCGTTTCGTTCTTCAAAGCTGATCCGAGAGTTGTTGTCATAGCAACAGTTCTGCTAGGTCAAACCTGATCGGGAGCAGGTTCAAATCATATAAACAGGATTAGATCGGCTCAGTTCAAGCAAAGATAATACAGAAAGTATGTACCGAATTCTGATATTTTCTTACAGCAGTAGTTATATACACTTGGGAAAATGGTACATATTTTTAACTATATATAAAGTTATAGTCATTAATAAAATAAATAAAGTTATACAGATTAATAAAACTTAAGCAATCTGCACCCTCGAAATGAAAGTAAAAAGACTGCCACCTGGTGGTGCAAAGAGGAAAACTTATTGATATGAACTTTTTTGATCGCTTTAGTACAAATAGTGTATAAAATGCACAATATGTGACTTTTTTTTTAAAGCAATAATACATTTATACAGTCATAAACATGTTTTGATAGTTAATATGCCAGTGATTTGATGCTTTACAAAAGTTGCAGACGCCTTTACCAATATGAAAATGCTTTTGTAAACAACCAGTTATTTTTTTACACCAATTAAAAATGGCTACTATAATAAAGAAAATCTTCTCTAAATATTGAACTAAATACACTGATTTGCATTGAAATACATGATGAATACTCTTGACACATGAAAGTGTAAAGCCTGCAGCTCACAGCAAATGTTGAAGGTTATTGCGTGTCATATTTAACAAACCGTTTACTGCTAATTTGATGTAATTTTGCTCACATGGATAATTGAATATTAATCAGATGATGTCATTACGCTACTGTGCCGTCAGCCAATCGTTGCATTGCTGATCATGATTTCGAGGATCTATAGATCTGTCCTTCACAACACATGCAGCGATCTCAGATCAGTTTATCCAGACATTCTAATCTGATTCGCGAACTTGTTTGAAGAACCAAATTAGCGAGAGATCAGTTATCAAGATTAAAAGATCCAGGATCTGCCAAATCATCTTAGATCATTTAAGCGAGGTACGAAGAATGGACCCCTAGTCTGTGTTTATATTGAAAACATTTACATTTTTGTAACAAGAAAGTTTGAGTCTCACAAAAAAGTGTTTCATTTGTTTAAATGTTGTGTTTTATTAAATAAAAAGGTAATAATTAATAAATGATAATTAATAATTAATCACTATATAAAAGGGTACAGTTTTAGCTTAAACTTTAGCAAAAACTAATTTTGTTTAATCACCAGTTTTCAATATTGGATAGGGCAATGTCTGTATGCACCACAAGGTGGTGCCACTGCTTTTCTGTTTTTTCTGTTAAGATTTTACAGATGTCTGTTCAGCAGTTACCAGTATGAGGCTTTCAGCCTTGGTCAAGGCAGAGGACAGTCTTGAGATCTCCTGCAACATGGTGGTGCTGAGCTCTTCTCTATCTTTGAAACTTTCAACCAACAGAACATCTTTCTCTCGCAGCTGATTGACCAGTCCAGTCTCTGCTCCTCCCCCTTCCAATCCCCGTCCAATCAGAGAGTCTGAGAGAGCCTAAGGGGAAAATGTTGACGGTTGACTGCTGGAATTACACATTAACTAAATCAGCTGCACTTTGCAATGACAATCAATCCCGACTTCCAGAGGGAGATAACAGCATGTCTACCTGCACGTCTCTGCGTGAACTCTCAAGCGCCTCCTTTAACTGGGAAATGTAGTCTTTGTTGTCCTGCACCAGTGCAGTCAGGGCTGAATCTCGCTCTTTCCACACTTCCCATTCTTTCATCATCTCCTGTTGAGCTCGATCTCTTTCCGCAAGCTCCACACGCTGGTGCTATTTGAAGACACAAAACATTGATTTTCTTATCAAGCAGAGTTTAAACCAGTGAACAGCCATTTGCACAATCTCTGTTGTTTGTGCTCTACCATTTGCATCGCTATCATTTGTACTGCTCTAGTTGTCCTGTAGCAGCATCTAAAAATCTGCTACATTTAATGGCTTCATTTTGAAGTTTCCTTTAAATTGGCCCCAAATGCATTTCCCCCTCATGTTAAAAAAGAAAATAATAATAATAATAATAATAATAAACTGGATATTCTGGACTGTGAAGAACACATTCAGATTCACTGCGTTCTGATGATGGCAGGATGTTTTTAAAGAAAATTCTGGATTACACATTGAAAGGGTTAGTTCAACCAAAAATGAACATTCTGTCTTAATTACTCATCTTCATGTTGATCGAATCCCAAGACCTTAGTTTTTCTTCAGAACACAAATGAAGATACTTTAGATGAAATCAGAGAGCTCTCTCATCCTACATAACGACAAGGTTCGAGACATTTAAAGTCCAAAAAAGGAAGCAGAAACATTGTAAAAACATTTCCAGTGGTTCAACTGTAATCATATGAAGCTTCAAGAACACTTTTGATTCCTTTTCTGGGCTTTATATGTCTTGGGAACCTTGCTTTATATGGAGGATCCTAGAACTCTTGGATTTGATCTAAAGTATTTTCATTTGTGTTGTGATGATGAATAAAGGTCTCCGGGGACTTTATCGACGTGAGGGTGAGTGATAAATAACAAAACATTCACTTTTGGGTGCTTGCACAAATGGACCAAAGGAACATATTTAGTTTGCAGATCTTTGTTCTGTTTTCAGACCGTTTAAGAGGCCTTTCACATATTATGCATTTTGCGTGCACTAGTTTATCATTTCAAATGGAGATGTGTGGCGTTAACATTGGTGGAGGAGGTGATGCACCTCACTCTTTTAGGCTGCATTTACACTGCTTGGTTCACATGACTCAATTAAATTTTTTCTCTCATGTGGCACATATCAGATTTGGCCCATGTGCATATAAGCAGAAAATTTTTTTTTAACATAGCCTCAGATTTACGCAAATCAGATTCAGGCCTGGAAATTCATCCGATATGAATTGGATCTGGGTTATTATTAAAAACTGTAGCGAATGACGTCAGCTCTGCTGAAGTCTGTTCTGAAATGAAAGCGTCAGAGTCCCAAACCTTAAATCCCATACACGAGGACTAAAAAAGCTTTTATATTGTCATACAGCACAAGTTTTTAAGCATTTTAAAGAGAGAGAGAGAGAGAGAGAAACATCTCTCAACACCACATATCCAATATAAAACTGTGGCATACGTCACATGCATAAATCACACCATTTACACATTACATTAAGGAGCCTACTGGTTAAAAAATGCCAAGACTAAAAAAAGATGGCAAAATGAGAACTTTTCTGTCATAAACGATAGTAAAAAAACTGTAAAAATGTAACCCTGTGAACACATTAAAAACAGGAATGGAGAAAAGGGAGCTCTTTTATTATCAGCTGTCAGTCACCACCTGCTTCTTTTTTTCCTGGTCATAGCGCCTTTGCAGTGTACAGTGTAAATGCAGACAAATTGTATACAAGTTACTTTTATAAGACAATGCAAGCAGGTCATCAGAAAAAAAAAAAAAACTATATATATATATATATATATATATATATATATATATATATATATATATATATATATATGTGTGTGTGCGTGTGTGTGTATATATTATATATTATATATATATATATATATATATATATATATAAATATAAATAAAATTTAATTTTTTTTATTGGATAGTCACAAAATCTGAATTGACCATCAAGATTCGCAGTGTAAATGCACCCTTAGATGCAGTATGTTAATGTTCCCTTAATCCAGTTGTAATATCACTTCAAAACAAACAAGTGTACAAGACTCCAGTATGAATGTTACTAGATTATTTGTTCGCAATGCTCTCTGTTCAGAGAGCTTGTGTTTGCATCTTTCACATTTACCCTCCTCCTACTACATGCATTCATCAGTGGACAGGGCCAAAGAACCAATAGTGTCAAAGCAGGTACTGATCACTTTCTGTCAGTTACATCATACTGACAAAACCTCTGAAATTAGCCATTTTGGCAGCCTGCCTCCTATACATGGTGCTTTTGATTTAACCCTTTAACGTGCATTACTTGCGAAAAAAAAAATTGCCACACATCTTAGATTGAATTATATACTGACACAATTCTGATAAATATTATGACAACCTATAATAAGGATATCCGATGGATAAAAGGTCAACCAGGTAGTTATGATGCCTGCTAAAGGTTAAAGAGAAAGTTTTGAGTTCTGAGATGTTTAGGGTATATTTACAGAGCCATGTCAAAGTGCCTTAAAAACCAGAGCAGATAAACGAAGCTAATTTTTTAAACTACATGCGAAATTAAAAACACAGCGCTTGGAGAGCTCTCTTTGTTGTATAAGGTGACAGCGATGCCTCGTTTACTTTCCCATGTACAATACTCCTGTTTAACAGCAGCAACCACAAACCAAATGTTTAAGTAAACAAATGTGTGTACTGTTGAATAAGAGCAGTGTTTGTTTGACTCACGTTAATAACATCCTGGTTACACTGGAGCACAGTGTTGAGTGTAATAAAGTCCCGGTCTCGCTCTCTGCCGGCGTCCTTAATGGCCTGCAGTTGTTTTTCCAGAGCTTTCTCTCTCTCGCTCGCCTCAGACAGCTGAGCCTCCAAAACCGTCTGATTTAAAAACACAGAAATGAAGGATAATGTGCATGTGCATTCATAATTGCCAGAACTAAACAAACACAAAAGCTCTTTAGTACTCAAATGAATGATCCCACATAGAGAGCGACCCAGCCAAAAGTCACAGTGACTGGGTGTGTTAGCCAGAGCTACACTGTATGCTCGGTTTGTGTACTTTTGCTACACTTCTATTATCATGTGTACACCGGACATAACTCTATAGAGGCTGTCTACACTGACTGGACGTGTCAAAAGCACTCATTTGGAAATAATCTGTCCTTTGTGTCAGCACTTCATAAACAGAATGAGGCATCAGTTTACTGTTGGAGATTTGTCACTCATGTCAGGCCATATCAATCACTACAGTTTTATTATTATAATTTTTTTTTTTAAAAGGGATAGATCAGCCCAAATAAAAATTGTCACTATTCACTCACAAAACTAAAAGGTTTGGAACCACTTTTTAATCTGCTGAACCTAAAAGATATTTTGAAGAAAGCTGGAAACTTGTAAACATTGACTATAAAACAAGTACTATAGACCATTTTGAGGGATGTAAACAATAACAATGGTCCTAATGTAAGTCCTGTATTGCACTTTTTAATTTCCATATTGTCTAGGAATCCTAAAAGGTTCACATATTGATAAATAATGTTATGACGGCTGTTTTAACATTAAGATCTAATTAAATCGCCTCTTGTTACGGTTACGAAATAGTTTGACAACAAGCAAGAAATTTTAATTGGCCAGACATCGCCACATCGAAATGGTTTATAGAAGTCAATAGTTACTGGTTTCCAATCTTCTTTAGAAAATCTTTGTTCAACAGATGAAAAACTTAAACATGTTTGTGACAAGTGAAAGGTGAGTAAATGATGACAATTTTTCAGTTTTGGGTGAACTACCCCTTTAAGTAGTGTTAGGATTATATATACACTGTGTATAAGGTCAAAGCAAACAACCAGAAATATTATAGAAATGCTTGAAATGATGGCTCATTATTTGACTGAAATAAAAATAATTCTGCTATTTTAAAACGCTCGGTAATAAAATGTAAATGTTTTTGAATATATTACTGAAAGGTTTTTTAATTATAATAAATAATAATTTTAATAAATTAATAAAGTGCTAGGCGACGCAGTGGGTGGCACGTTCGCCTCACAGCAAGAAGGTCGCTGGGTCGATCCTCGGCTCAGTTGGCGTTTCTGTGTGGAGTTTGCGTGTTCTCCCAGCGTTCACGTGGGTTTCCTCTGGGTGCTCCGGTTTCCCCCCCACAGTCCAAAGACATTCAGAACATTGGTTCATTCCTCTGTGGTGACCCCAGATTAATAAAAGGACTAAGCCGACAAGAAAATGAATGAATGAATGAATGAATAAAGTGCTATCTATTCAGGGTTATATTCATTTTTAGAGAACGCAGTATCAGACCTTAATAGAATAGAGTTTTGAATTTATTTCCATATAGGCTTTAATGGCTAATTCATTATAAAAAACTGATCAAAATAAAAGCTTATAAATAACCCTTTCTGTAACACTTTATAATAACAACACACTATGGATCATCTGTTAAGCATTAGCAAATAGTGAATTCATTATCTGTTAAGCATTAATTCTATATTAATAGATGTTAGTAAGCAGTTTATAATTGCAGATACAAATGCTCTGTTCTTGACTTATTCCAACATTTATAAATGTGCTTAATGATTGTATTTTCATACTTTGTAACTGATTAATTTTTCATTACTAAATTAAGGATTGCATTATTTACAAACCATTTGTATTTAAGAGTAGTTGGAGGTTTTTAAGATCATCGAGAATGTGTTAGTAAACGATTAATAAACTATTCAAATCAACATTCATATTGTTTTATTCAGTCATTTACTAATACTAATGCTTTATTAACTTAACTTCATCCAGTTTTGTGACCTAATCCAAAGTGAGGGCTATTTATACTTTATAAATCCCTTAAAAATTACAATTAAAGGCTCAGTATCAAATGAATAATACAAATTTGCAATCGTGTGTAAAAAGTAAAATTACTGTCAAGTTTAATCATTGCTGAATAACAGGAGTATCAAAATATAACACAATTGATACAACAACAAAAATAGAATAATTTAACAATATGATGCAACATTTCAATGTTATACAGCAAAGTTCAAACTGTACAGTAATTTTATTTTAGATGAGGCTGGAAAGATTTATTTTTCATTTAATACAGTTTTATTTGTGTATCTTCAAATGAATAAAGTTATTTATTTTCTTTTTCCCCCTGTTTAGAATATAACTGAGCCTTTAATTGTCATTCATAAGTGATTTATAAAAGCATAAATACTCCTCACTTTAGATTAGGTCACACAACTGGATGAAGTAGAGTTAAAAAACATTTCTTAACATACCAATTAACTATTATTATATGCCTGAACAATAAGATATATTAAGGTTTGTTTGAGTTGTTTATTAATCATTTACTAACTTATTCAGAATAATATTTGAACACAAGCAACTTCTCTCAAATAACTGATTTGTAAGTTATGCAATACTTTATTAACTAATGAAAAAAATAATTGAAGCATAAGAAAACAATCATTAAGCACATTATAAATGTGCTTATAAGTCAAGAACAAAGCAATTGTATCTGTAATTATAAACTGCTTACTAACGTCTATTAATATAGAATTAATGCTTAACAGATAATGAATTTACTATTTGCTAATGCTAAATAAATGATTCAAAGTGTAGTTATTATAAAGTGTTACCTGCTTTTCTATGATGCATAGGTTTATCAAAATAAATAACAATAAACATAACAGAAAATAAGATAATCTAACGGTTTAAGTTTTTTTATTTTATTTCTTAAATCTAAATTTTTTGAAGGATTCAGATTTTAAAATAATTCCTTGAAAGACTCTTCAGATAAAAACGGTGTCTTATAACATTAAAATTAGGGCACTGCAAAAGGATTTGTTTTTATTTAGTATGTTATTGTCCTTAATAATATATTTTGTTTTATTCTAAAATGTACTTAAACATACACATAACGAATCCAGTAAACCCAAAAATTTAAGTTGCCTCTTAATTGTTATATAAATCGGACATTTTTCCAAACAGTAAGTCTCCAAAGGTTCATAAATACATTTTTGCTCTTTTATACATTGTGACACTTGCTCTAAAAGCACTAATTCAAGAGGCAGAATAATGAAGTGCACATGAGCCAATGATCTTGTTTTTCTTGACTAATAGCACCAAATAAACATGAACGAACATCAAAACGCATGTTGAAAGATATAGAACAACCTAAAGAAATGTAACAATGCTTGAGAAATCACCATATCAGTGTTTCAATAGTAAGCACATTAGACTCAGTAGTGATTCAAACAAATTGCAAGCAATGGGTTTGACACTGCATTTACAGTCCCTCAATTTTCATTACAGTGCATCGCTATTACTATCTATTATTTATTATAGAGTCACAATGAAAATTGGCTCTTCACTTCTAAATAATGGCATAATTGTAGAATTAGTACTTAGTCATTCCTCACCTCACGTTCTGAGCGTGTATCAGTCACTGCACCGGCCAGTTTCTGGATGAGTCTGTCAGTGTCCTTTGATTCCAGCCCTTTCTCAGCACACAGCTTCTGGATCAAAGTCACGCATTCCTGAAGAGTGGACGGCACACATTCATGACGATCACGTTTATCCTGAAACCATAATGAGTTCATGAATTCACTACTCACCTGGATTACGCTCTCTCGGCTGTGCAGTGATTGGCTGAGACTCTCGATGAGGTCATTCTTATTCTTCAGAATGGTCTGTGCAGCAAAAAATCAGATCGGATGGGTATTAGTTGCACAAACAGGCATTATTCCCAGCAAAATGACTCCATGTCATGCCTGAGGGACACTACATGGCATTGTGATCTCTTATGACTGCATTCTGCTAGCGTTACATAACTGCTATCAGCTCACTCTAGAAAACAACCATTCAATTGCAAGCTCATACCCAGCATGCAATAGTGCTATGAAATTACAGCTCTCTGTAAATCTTAAAATCAAGGATTATTATTTTGTATCTGGACGCATTGGTCACACTTAAAGTTCCAGTGAAGTGCTTTGAAATGTGCACTCTCTATTCAGTGTTTGATGTAATCTCAACTGAAACATGAAGAGAGGACGGGACATGGAGAAGCTCCTCCCCTTTAAAAAAAAACAGCCAATAGAATTTAATTTTATCACAGCTCTGCCTTTGAGAGTGCTAGAGCTCAAGCACATTAAATGAAAAGCAAATGAGAAGCATCTTAAAGGGGGTGGGACATGGCACATACTAGAGATCATTTGATTGGTCAGCTTTATGAGAAACTAATGTATGAGGTGACATGTTTTTAATCAGTCCTATCTTAAACACAAATTTGTCACTGATTTGGAGCACACCAGCTCATAGATATCCTTAAAGTGAACAATACTCTTACTAGCATCTAATTTCACGGGAATTAGGTCATTTCTTTATATAACACTTCAAATTTGTTGTCAAATGATGCTTTAGGTTTTTTTTTTTTTAACAGAACTGTCCGTTTTGAAGAGGTTTTTTGAGTTTTGCAAAAAAATGTCAGTGCAAAGCTGAACAACATACTCTGATCATGATCGTTATAAATATATTTTTTACTCCCCTTTGGCTACCACAGAGCATGTATTTTATACTAGAATATTTTTGCATTCATAACCTGAATTACAGTGTCATTCTAACAACACTGTAATAGGCTTCATCATATAGTGAGTGCTTTTTGACTCATTTTTGTTAGCTTTTTGGCAAAGTGAGTGACAATGTATGCTCCCACATTGTTAAAACAGTTATGATTTTATAATAGAAGATATATATGGCACACTTATAGTTTTTGACGTAACTCTTTAAAATAAATGTACTTTGTTCAAATCTTTTATCGACTGCAGGGCTGGACGGTTTGGTCTCAATTAATTGGTCTTGATTAATTGAATATTTTAACTTGATTACTATTAACGATTATTTTTATTTTTTTTGCCCTCATTAGTTCACTGACAGGTTTTGTACAGCAAATATGTTCACAAAGCTGCACACAGTAAAATATATAAATCTGTTGCATCATATCTGTTAATACTGAATGCTTATTTACTCACTTTCAGGCCATCCGAGAGGTGACTTTTTCTCAAGTAGATTAAAGAAGATTTAAAGCTCCATGGTCATGTGTAAAATGTAAATTTGCAGCTACCATGACTTGTACATCTTTACACATGAAGGTGGCAGAAACAACCAAAACAGGGTTTTAACAGTAATGCCACAATAGAACTATTTCTGGTATATTATTAAGAGTGTAAAGTAAAAACAAAATAATTTGCCTTGATTTATTTGTTTGTTTGTTTTTTTCTTAAAAAAAATGCCTTAAATCACTTTGGAAATGTTTAGTATTAAAGAATTATTTGATGAAATTAAAAAAAAAAAATCTCTATTTACATATCAAAGGTCAGCTCCAAAATATTAATTTGTCATTTTAAAACTTTGTACTTTCCTAACATCCTTCAAAACACTTGCTTTTACCATTCTGTATTCAAGGGGTTGCTAACAATTTAACTATGCAGGTTAAATAGCATGTTACCTATGCTTATATACAATAACTTTAGCATTATGTTAATTAACTAGTAACTAATAGTTTTGAAAAGTTAAAGTTATGCTAAATGATAACCTAACTTTCCTGATTTTCATTGTAATGTAAAGCTGCTTTGAAACAATAATTATTGTATTGAGCACTATACAAATAAACTTGAATTGAATATTACAAGTGAGAGATTTTTTATTTGACTTGATTTTAAAATAATTAAAAGAAAACACACTATCTACTATCTATGATCATTTATTGAACATCAATGTTGAACAACTGAAATTAAGACACATTGTCTAAAACCCACAGTCAATTTATTTTAGTAAGTGAAAATAAATACCTTGCACTTTTGAACACAAATTTTAATGATTTTCATTTTAAAAGTAGAAAATAGCAGCATCTCTTCTAAATAAAATTACTCTTGTATTTCCTGTAAATAATATTTTAAACATTGCATTTCTTGCATCTTCTACAATCTAATATTTTATTGTAAATAATTAACGTAATGGAAAATATGCCGTCTCAAGGCTTCTCAACCATCGTCACTGTAGTGCAAAGTAAATAGCGTAAAATATGTGACTCCATACACGGTAGGGAAGTCATTTAATAATAATAATAATAATAATAATAATAATAATAATGATGATAATAATAATAATAATGATAATAATAATAATAATGATAATAATAATAATAATAATAATAAACCTAAAAAAAAAGAGATCTATTATAGGTTCTTAATGTTGATTTCAATTACCTTTCAATTAATTGGCCAGCCCTAATCTAATGCCTTGAAATGTTTATAGCAGTTGTCTTAACTGTTTAAATACTTGTCTGGGTTGACACATGAATTCATTATTAATCTATTTGACAGAAAGCATCATACATTTAATACATTACAATGACCAATAGGGAGAAAAGCACATCGAAATACAGCAGCTGAAAAGCCCAAGTGTATCTGTCTGCAGACTGCAAGACAGCGATGTAATATGAAAGGTGTAACTTGTAGTAAGTTAGAGGACTAACTTGCAGTTATCGAGATCCCATTGAACCATGCAAGATGTCACATCGAGATGTGGTTGGTAAGATGGCAGACATACTTTCCAGAAAACATTCTCACCAAAGGTTTTTATGAGTTTTCTCCAAATTTATCCACAACCAATTCATTTGATATATTATTATATTCATTCATTTAGCAACTCCGCTCACTAATGACTTAGTCCGCTTTGTCACGACAGTTAGCATACTCCGTGTCGTCCCCAGTGGTTGCAAATAAAAGTACAATGATGAGTGTGTCAAGTTTAAAAGCCTCAGCAACATGAAGCTATACGTTAATAACTGTGATGTTTGGGTTTAGGTTTAGGAAAGGTGTAGACGTTAATAACGGTGATGGTTGGTGTTAGGTTTGGGGTAGTAGAAGACGTTAATAACGGTGATAGTTGGGTTTAGGTGTGGAGTAGGTATAGACGTTTATAACTGATGGGTACAGCACCATCTTGCTGAGAACATAGTTTTGACATTTGGACATTCTCCATAGCTTCAAGTTACGCCTCTACTACAAGTTCTGTTTCCAAGTTCTGTTCCCCTTCGTATTATGCCCCCGTCTTGCAGTCCGCAGACAGATTCTCGAAAAGCCTGTTATGAAAGAAATTCCACCTACACCCTAGGGCAATCTCCTCTGGTCTGGGAAGATTCCTGGAGGAGGTGTGTGCAAGTTTGTGTGTGTGTGTGTGTGTGTGTGTGTGTGTGTGTGTGTGTGTGTGTGCGTGTACACCTCTCTATCTTTTTAAAATTATCCACACACCTCTATGCCCTATACGAGACATCATCTGCAAAAGTCAACAAAAAGCTAAGGAGAGGGTGTGCCACAGATGGGCTTTGCTAGTCTGTGAATGCACACACACGTTAATTTTAAACACCCATCCAATTTAATAATTATCATTTCTTACTCACCGCTTGCGGAGACTTCAACTGCTTGGCAGAAGCATCGGTTGTTGTTTTGTTGGCATCTCTGAGCTGTGCCTCAAGAGTTCTGATGCGAGCCTGAGCCTGAACAAGTTGTTCTCGCAATTGCTTCACAGCAACGTGCACCCTATTAGAGGACGACTAAAAAGAGTGATCAAATTAGCAATGTTTTTAAAAAGAACACTTTTTTTTTCTTTTTTTTTTTTTGAAATTGGCTCATTTTTAAGTCACCTAGAGTAAACCATTTTTGAATCTATTCAGCCAATCTTTCTGTCTGACAGGAGCACTGTTAGCTTAGCTTAACATGAGTGAATTGATTAAGACTGGTAGCATCTCTAAAATTGTAATTTTGATATATACAAAGCTTGACACTTCTGTAGTTATATTGTGTACTAAGACCAACGAAAAATAAAGGTTGCTATTCTGTAGGCAGATATGTATTTATGAACTATACCCTCGTTCCAATGTAAAAATCAAGGAACTTTGCTGCTGTAATCACATTTAAGCACACTCATATATGTCATCTAATTTAAAATCATCATTACTTTGACAATGTGTGATCTTACATTGTTACACACTTTGCAAAGTGCTCAAATAAATGATTCAAAAAGCACTCACTACATGATGAAGCCCATTAAAATGTAGTTAAGATGTCCCTATAATTCAAGCTATTTAAAAAAAACACATTAGAGCCAAGTTATATCACACAACCAAAAGTAACATTACCCCAAATATTAGCACGAGGGAAATCATAAATGTACCATGGATGAAGCAGGTGCAATGAAATTATGCAACGCTTTAAAAAAGTCCTCAGTTAGGTAATCAAGTAACAGTGCTATGTAAAATTGTTGCGCCTGCTGCAGCCATGGTACGGCGGCAAAGTTCCTTGATTATTATGCCAGACTAAGAGTATAGTTCCTATTCTTATTGCCCTAGAAAATAACCTTAAATAGCCAATAGTTTTAGTTCATAATCTAAATTATAGAAGAGTCAAGCTTTAAATAGGAAAATTATTAAAACTCATTTTTGAGTGAGATGCTAATGGTCTAATCTAATTCAATGATCTATGCTAAGCTAAGCTAAAAGTGCTCCTGTCAAACCCAAAGATTAATTGAATGGATTCAACTACAGTTGTCACAATACTAGAATTCTGCACCAATCGATAATGAAATTTAAAAATCATTCATTTCTCGCTTAAATTTGAGCGCTGTTGAGCATGTTCTTAAACACAGCTGATTTGCCATTGTGTTCAAAAGATTTGACTGCGATTGGCTGTAAAGGTCATCAGTTCATGGAACTCATTACTGTTTACGCAGTGTAACTACAGATACAGGGACACTGGAGCATTTTAAAGTCACGTCAATCAGCTGGTTTGTCTATAAGCTTAAATGTGAGCCGCTGATAAATTGGGGCTCTAAAATCAGCAGTGTTTGAGAACGTGCTCAACATTGCTTAAATTTTAGCGGGAAATGGATGTTTTTAAAATTCCAGTATCAATTGGTACCGAATTCCAGTATCGTCACTACCATAAATTCAACAATAGTAAAACTCAACTGTTTAACTCTAGGCAAGTTGTAAAACGAGCCTACTTCCAAATAATAAGTGCAGCGTTAAAAAAGCTAAGGCTAAATTAATCCAACAGCTCTTACTTCTCTTTGCAGTGGCACAAAGTCATCTTTTAGCTCAGTCAGGATGTCGTCATTCTCTTCTTCAAACTCATTCTCAGTCCCATTTTCCCCCTCTCCAAAATTCAGGACCCTCACTAACCCCGTTTTCGACCCCACTTCATCTTTTCCGTTCACAACGTCTCCTCTGTTCAACACAGGAATGCGACTTCCAGCTGGTGACTGGACTGGCTTTCCTTCCATCCCCCTCAACTTTTTGAAAACAGCGTCAATAATGGCAAAATTATCCTCTGGCCAATCGAACGGATCAGCGCCGTCGAGAGAGTCCAGTGATTGGATGGAGGCAGTGCGAGATCGCAAAGAATGACAGGAGCCGGACAGTGAGGCGGGGCTTGACCTGACAGATGGCACCCTCGACCAATGAAGAGGCATGCTGCAGGATTTCTCTCTGGAAAGGCCCAGTGTCGCGAAGGCTTGTTCAGGCAAGTGACGTGGAATGCCACAAACAGACTCATAGTCTGAGTCGGACACTCTCAAGGAGTCACAACCCTCACACTTCTTTCCTTTTTGACAGCGTTTTCCTGTTCTCCTGTAATAGGGACACGCCTCAGCTTTCTCGGACCACCATTCATACTCTGAAAGGGCCATGTTGTCTTTGAGCATTTCTCTGTATCCTTCTCCTGCAGAATCTTTCCTGTCATTTTCATCCTCACTGGAGCTCCCTTTGCTCCTGAAAGGTGATGGGTTGCGTTGATCGTACATACTTCGTACCCATCGCCTAATCTTATCCCTTTCCTGAGTGAGTTTCTGGAGTCTCTCACTTGACAGCATTCGCACTCTGGAGATGACGGTGTCGAATTTGAAGACTCGTTCCAGAACGGACACACATTTGCCACATAAAAACTCCCCGTGGCCATCTGCACGTGGTACAGGCTGATCCAAAATGTGTGTCAGCACACAAAGCAAGTCGATTCCTTTCGTAGGGGTTAGCAGGCCACGAGATTGTGATAGCGAATGGGATGAGCTGAGAGAGAGAGTACTACCTAGAAATAAGAAAACAACAAGTCATTAATGTGCAACTTTTTAAACCAAATTCTCTTTGACGAACATGAAAAGCACAGTAATTAAAAAAATTGTGCAGCAATATGTTTTTTTTTATTTTTTTTTATTTGATTTTAAAACTTAAAATGTTCTTTCCCCATGAGTATGGAACACAAATGGCCCATTTCCAATGAGTGGTACAGTATGCTACAGTTCAGTAAGATTTTATGGCAGTTTCCACTGTCAAAAGGTAACAAAAGCAAACAGTACCATTTTTTGGGTACCCTTTTGAAAGTGTACCTAGCACAACAAAAGGGTACCAAAAGGCGTAGCAAGACGTGCAGCTGAACGCTATTGGTTTACAGAGATACGCAACTAGCTCATGTACAAGCCAGGAGAATGAAAACAAAAGAAGCACCATTTTTAAATACACAGACATTACACCATAATAATATATACATATAACAACCAGCCATGGTTAACCCGAGCGTAAACAAACCTTGTCGTTGGCTTAATGAACAGACACACAGCCAAAAAAATGAGCGGAATCTACCCCGTATCCCTTGTTGTTTACAAGGAAGTCTAAAGCTTGTGCGTTTCACTTTATATATTTAAAATAATAAACTTCCTGAGCTGATAATTATGGCAGGTGCTTGATTAGTGAAGTGCTTTTGACATCCAATCTTTTCAAAAACAGACAAACTCGAGACTGACATGTTAAAAAAAACAGAGCAAATGATTGTTTCAGCAACTTAAAACATAAACCAACTGTCATGTGTCAACTATTATCATCACCTTTTGGACTGGGGGCAATTTCATTAAAGTGGTTTCGAAAAGCGGGGATTAAAGTCAAAAGCCTGACTTCAATGAGCCGAATTAAACGTTGTTAAATCGTTAAGTGAATTTAAATGGCATCCAATTCTGGCAGGTGCATGTTAACATTACTTTGATTAAGCTTAAACTTAAGACTTAGCCTTAACTTAAGAAAGTTAGCCTGCCTCAGACCAGGCTAGTTTTCCAGCTTAAGTTGCCAGGGTAACTAAGTTTGAACTATCGTAAATTTGATTTATAAACCCGAATCCGCCATTATTAAACCTGACTTACCAAAATAAGCCTGGCTTTTTCTGTAAGCTTGGTTTATGGAATAGCCCCCTGGTTTGAACATGGAATGAATTTTGGCAGTGGAAACGCAAGCCTGATAAAGGTGACCCGTACCGTACCTTGCCACTTAGTAGAAACGGGCCAAAAGTGATCCTGAAATTGCAAGTGAACCACACTTTTCCACCACTTAAGAACTGCAGATTGATAACCAAATTATTGCAGTGTGTACGTGGTCTTTAATAGCATTTCAAAATGTGTAGAATAAAAGCAGTTGATAGAAGTGTGCTTTGCTGTACGCAGACCACTTACAGTACATGCTGACTAGACCAGATCGGCAAGGAATGGGATGCTTAAGCAAACAGAACAATCAGCCCAATAGTGGAAAACAGCTGTTGGTAACCTTGACTTGACTTTTGGCCAAAGTAATCGTATAGTGAGCCAAAACTAAAACAATACAATGCAAAACATATACCTTGTTTGATGCTTGTTTAGAAAAGTGCTTTGCAGTAAATACTGTTGAAGCAATTCAGTTCATGAAGTTAATAAAGCAGGAAGGTTGCAGTATTTTGATATGTAGCTTATTTATTTCTAAGAAACATTGTGTGGACATGTTCTTGTTTGCGTTTTTTAGCAAGATCTGGCAACACAAAGTAAACACATATCTAATGTCTTGTGATGCCGTACAATTTTCAAGACAGCAACCATGTGTTTACTTCAAACATTATATATATTTTTTATTTCTCTTTAAAAATAAGCAAATACACTTAATCGGTCAAGGATATAAATAAAGTTTGTAAAACAAAAACATACTGTAAAATCTATCCATATACTATTCTGCTTAAGAGCCAGCTTTAAAATTTTAAATTGAAGCTCACCACATTTGTAATACTTTTAATATCCACAAGCAGTTTATGCCATAGCATTGCCCCAGAATATTTCAAAGACCAACAACCAGAAGTGGTTTAAAAACGACAATGTAAAATCCATAGGACTAGTTTTAGTTCTATAACAATGTTGCTGGTTTACCCTTGATAAAAGGGTATTTAAATAAGAGGGCGCTTTATTATTAATAATGTTAGATACCATTTTAATTTGAATGTCTTCCAATCTACTTTCTATAGTAGGGGTGACCCAAAATTTTTCCTATGATGGGCCAAAAACCAAACTTGGCTGAAAGTAAATATAGTTGCCATGGGTAATATCCTAAATTATTTAATAATATTTAATGAATGACTAGAAAACATTGCTTTATATTAACTAACAGTATAACAGTAAAAACTTATTACAGTAAAAACAATCGAATATAATTTCTAACAGAATTACACTAGTTTTTCCCTTGATTTGCTTGCCGATGTTCTCTGTATAGTCCTCTATGCGTGAAAGTATTTACATTTTTTTAAAAGCAGATTGATTTACAACATTTATTTAAAACATTTAATATCAGTTTTTTTTTTTTTTTAGCTAAAAAGGTTACGCCAAATGAGAAATGACAATCTCTTTGTTAAAAGCAATCGCCCCTCTCCATCATTCTCACTCTCCCAGATGGGATGGTGGGCCAAATCAAAGGTTACAGGGGCAACTTTGGCCTGTGGGCCCTACTTTAAGCATCTCTGTTCTATAGGAAGCCAATCAAGACTCTTGAAATGGAAACTCTTAACAAGTGTGAAACGGCCAACCCCTAGAACTAACCGTATCAATTTATTCCATGATTTTTGGAATTTGCTCAGCCACCCATGAGACAAATCAGACATCTAGGAGATGCATGCATATTCAAAATGACAGGAAACTAAGCATGACACGTAGTTTCCTGTCATTTTGAATATGCATGCATCTCCCGGATGTCTGATTTGTCTCATGTGTGGCTGAATTTTGGCTACCTGAAGTTTCACTATCTACATTTTTGTTTATTGGTTGTTACTGTAAAAAGAACTGCAGATTGACAACCAAATTACTGCAGTTTGTACATGGTCTTTCATAGCATTTTTAGAATAGTTTTAAAGCAAATATAAGTTGATAGAAGCATGCTTTGCTGTTCTTACCCCATGGGCTGCTTTGTGCAGATCTGGGCAAGCTTGCCTTGCTGGAAAAGTCTGTCGGCGTCTGAGTTTGTGCCCCCTTTCTGTTCTGATTTGCATACAACCATCGCCGCTGATTACCCTGCAGGTCACTCCCACAGATGCGGCATCCTTCAATTTTACCTCGTGTAGACATCATAAATACAGCAGCTGAGCTGTAATAAGGATAAATATTAAAAATATTAAAAGTGTCAATGTTTTATAACTTACTTTAACTCTCTTAAGGTATTGCCTTCCATTTAATAGATGCACTCTCCTGAGTCCCTCCCTTTTAATTTATTTCGTATAGATTTAATTTTTTTGTTTTATCTAATACCATTTTATACCGTTTAATTGTAAATATTTACTTTCAACATTGACAATGTATCTGAATATTTGATTGTGATATTTGGTTGTAATTCTCTGTACACTTAATACTCATTTCCATTTTTCTTTTCCTCTTTTATTATTATCATCATCATTATTATTATTACTATTATTAATATTTCACTTTTTTATTATATATATTTTTGTTATTATTTTTTTATTCTCTTTTGTAAAAAAAAAAGAAAAGAAAAAGATAATATGTAACTATCTGTACTGATGTAATGTTTGTTTTTTCACAATAAACAATTTACACATAAAACTAAAAAAAAAAATATATATATTAATATAAATAATTAGGGCTGCGCGATATTGGAAAAATCTAACATTGCAATTTTTTTTTTAATTATGCGATAAATTTTGGGATATGAATATAATTTCACCAGATAACTTGAATATCGCTATTTGAAAATTATTTATAAATGTTAGATCATTTAGGATGATTCTGCTGCAAAATCTAAAAAACAATCTATACAATTTTTGGGGGTCTCTAGCACATTTTGTTGTTGTCTGTGCTATTTGCAGTGCATTTCTGTATTTGCATGTGTTGTGAGTATTTTCATGCACTTGTTTAGCCAAAGAATGATGAATTAATGTTTACTATTGGCATCTTTATCAAATCTTTAAACTTTTTGTCATCCTCTGATGCGTTTTCGTTGTGGCTTGTGCTATTTGCAGTGCATTTTTTTGTATTTGCATGAGTTGTATTTCACGCATAACTATCTATAAATACAAATCAAGAAAAAAAAACAATTGAAATAGTGTTATATCGTTTCCTTGGTCTAACAGAATTCAAGTATAATACAAATATCAAGTATCATACAAATAACTCAATAAACTTAATCATATTTAAGGTCACAATTGCTACAATTTCTAACATCTGAATACTTTATCATTAAATAAATCATTATACAAACACAGGCATCAAAAACACATGCAAATGGTAAATTCTAATACAAACTCCACATTGCGTATATCCTGCGATATGACTTTTGCGAACGATTCAATTCAGTTCACCTTTATTTCTAAAGCGCTTTTACAATGTAGATTATGTCAAAGCAGCTTCACATAGAATTTTATAGTAAATTAAAACAGTGTCAGTCCAGTTTTCAGAGTTTAAGTTCAGTTTAGCTCAGTTGAGTGTGGTTTAATATTCAATACTGAGAGTCTAAACACTTTAGAGCAATCCATCAGCAGCTCTACAGGTCCCGAACTGTGCAAGCCAGTGGCGACAGCAGAAAGGAAAAAACTTTACCAATTAAAAAAAACCTAGAGAATGATTACATTGAAATATCGATGCTGAACCGATATATTGTGCAGCCCTAACATTAACGATAATAATAAAGAATAAAATGGTTTAAAAAGTCAAGTGGAAAGAAAATAATAAAACTTTCATCAAAAGGTTAAATGTAGAGTTTCTAGTACAATACATTTCCACTTTACACACCTGAGTTAATATTTCCAGCAGTTGTATTGCTTGCTTGGTAGTTCAATGTTGTCCTTTGGCTGGGGTGGATCCAGAGAATAACAGCTCACTCTGCCCCACTGACAGTCTCTGTGTTTACATGGGCTGGACACATCGACCTTGTGCCCTAAACACACACACACACACACACACACACACACACACACACACACACACACACACACACACACAATTATAAATTGGATTGTTTACTCTAAATGATGGATTACTTCTTTTTAGATAACTGATATATTTCATTCAAGACTTTAAGTGCACAGTCCACCCACAAATACTCACATCATCATTTTTCCAAACCTGTACGACTTGCTGTTTTACCTGCCACACAAAACGAAATGTCAAGCACGATATTGAGTGACAGACAGTAAATATCTACTGTCCGGAGTACATTTTCCCTCATACTAATGGAGTATACTAGACTATTAGAGCTGCTTTTGAAAAAAAAGGTAAAACATTAAAGTTTGTAAGTGGAAAACATGCAGAATTTTAATCTTTAAGCTGTTTCTTTAAATCAAATCAATGAAAGACTGGCGCGAGCGCCTAACACAGCTAAATAAATTATGTAAATAAAGTGACGCGTTGGCAGGACACTTTGAACACGATGAATAATCTAAGCAACTCGCTGTTTTTCTCCTCGGTTTGTTCATTTAATATGACTTGTCAGTCCTGTATCACACAGCCTAAAAACTTCCGAGGAAAATCCACGCGAAGTTGACTTTTGACTTTCGAAATGTCAAAATGACACCGCAGAGGACAAAACATGATCCCATAGACTAAACAACTTTACAAAACAGCCGTGCACTGACCTGATAAGTATGAGAGAGAGGAAAATATCACATTTCCAGCGCAAACGCAGAGATAAAGTCGCTTTCTGCAGCTCAGGAAGTGTTTCCACGGTCTCGAGCACGAGCTCTCGCGCGTACAAACCAGAGTGGCAGCCGCCGCGCGCCGCTCTACCTTGCTGACGTCATCATAAATACCTGTTTCAGCATGCAGCTGCGTGGCGCGCTCCAGCTGTTTGCACAATCACGCGCATGCACCGCAGCATTAGGTAGCCTATTACACTACCTCTACAGACGAGGAGTTATCCAATGTATACGAGTAGATATTTGCGTCGTATATATAGGAATATGAAGAATAATGCGCATAGTTTGTGTATTTGCAGTAAAAAACAATACTCAAGTGTCATGCAAGTAATCATTTTAATATTGACACAGATTTTACTTTAGACTTCTGTTAAAAGTTAATTCCTGTGTTGTTTTTTTAATCAACAGTTCTCCAGTATTCAGTGTTTCTTTATCTTTCAAAACTCCTCCAAATGATTTAGTTCTCACTTGTTAATTATTACTGGTACACAGGTTTTGTTGCTTTGTGGAAGTTGTCCTTTGTTTTTAACTCTCTGAATGCAAAGGAACTGTATAGGTTGAGATTTATTTTTAAGCAATATCAAATGATTTACCATCTCTTTAAATTAATGCATTCTTGTAAATAATAAAGTTAAAACTCATTAAAAAATATAGAAATAATAATAATAACACACTTTTTAATAGTAGTGAAGCGTGGTTGTCTTCTGTAATTAAATTCCTCAATTTACCCACACAATTATTTTCAACATTGATATCAATAACAGGCCCGTAGCCAGGGGGAGTTCAGGTGGTTCTAAAGTGCTTCCCCTGGCATTTACAAATCCAGAATTTGCCCCCTGTATGAGTTAATTTGTCCCATTTTTGACAGTATGCCATTTTAAATGAAACATAACCGATAGAAGACGGCTTTGTGAAACACCAAAACATAATTTTGAGATGTTGAGTCATTTGTGCCACGTTGCTAAAAACACTGGGACACATATATTTGGCTAACAAGTGAAAATTGTTTGTTTTTGAGTTGTTTAGAGCAAATTTGTTCTTCTGAAAATGTTGGAGCTGCATCACAGCGATTAGATCCTTGTGTAAATTCCAGCATTGGATATCTGTGCTGGCCAGTATAGTGACGCCATTGAGTTTTCAGCACATCTGTTTAATGGGAAAGAAAGAATTTTCCATTGAAATGGATGCAATTCCTAAAGGTGTAATAATGCTTTTTAGAGGCTATGGTGGAGTTTCCTCTGTGCCATTGCACCCCTTGGAAACTTCAGTGGGAAATTTATTTTTTATTTTTTTATCACAACCTTTCTTATGTAATTACAAAATCAGGTCTCTCTTTCAAAAGGAAATTGTAACACCCCATATGTGAAGTTTTTTTGGATGGAAACATGACCAGATTCAATGGAAAAAAGTGTGGTCTTTGTCTGTAAATTATAAAAAAAAAAAGGGGGGGGGGGGGGGGTTGGACAGTTTTCGTTCATATAATTATTAATCTCCTGTTTCTAAATGGTCCGTCTGGTGTTCTGTATTTAAATGTGCCAAAACAGACGTTTTGTTTTCATTTCCCCACAATGAGAGCACAGTTCGTGTGTGGACTCACGTGTGGATTACAGTGGTCTGCTAACATGCAACAAAAATATGTGTGAAAGGAAAAAAAAAATCTCCACAGAGCTTTTCGCTTCTGGAAATAGTGAAATCCAGATTTGTCACTCGTCTCCAATTTAAAAAAAAAAAAAGACACTGTTCCAGTTCATGCTGATTGTCTTGTCTCTTTGGATTCGGTAATTCTGTGATCAATGTTATTTGTTTACGTTTATTCAGAGGCAAAGTTAGTATTGTCAGCAGTACTCGTTCAGTTTTAAAAGACATACCTTACTCAAAATAATTTTGTTACTAGGTTTACAATAATATCACTACAATATAATGGACTGAGAATCCTTAACTTCCACACAGCTCTTTTAACAGATTCTTATTTTTTTTTATGATGGACGATAATAAATTTGTTATTTATAAATTAATATTTATTTTTAAATAATTATTTATTATTCAATTATTAAATATTTATTTATTACTGTTAATAATACTATTGAAAAATTAGTATTTTCTTAATTTTATTTAAACATCTAATCTTATTATAACCATTTAATAAACTAATAACTTAGTTTAAACAGACATTTCTAAATAAACACTTTGTGGTAAAAGAGTATGGCAAGCAGCTTGACAAAATTGTAGGAAATATATTGATGCATCAAAAACTGTGGTTATGCTCACCATCAGACAAACTATTGCAGCAAAGATTAGTGCTTAAAATGTCACCAAAATGTAGTATTTGATCCTCATAGTTTAATAGAAATTGAGGAGAATAATTGCAAATAGTTATAAAAACTTTGATAATAAAAACACCCCTTTCAATAGGCTAATAAAATCCATTTTAATTATTTATCTCAAATAAATATTATAGTTGCAATTGAAACTAAACAAACACATTTTAAACTTTGTTATATGCTGGTTGGTGGCATGACGAAGTAACTTCAAACTGATCTTAAATTAATAGAAAATAGATCCGTAACACAACATCAGTTACTGAATTTATTATCAAAAGTGAACATCTAAGATTATCAATAAGAACAATCATCACACACACGCACACACACACACGATTGTGCTTGAGAAATAAGATGGTCTGCTTTCCTTCTGAATATTACGTGAGCCACTTTTCTATGCACTTCTGGTAGACACTGTAGTCTGAATGCCAGTGTGTATGTTGAACACCAGAGACAACACACTTCTCTACGGCACCTTCTGAGTTCAGTGTTTTCAGGCCAAAAGCGTCACTTGCATAATACTAGAGAAAGGGAGAAATGGTTTGCATAAATCAAACAGCACTAGCAAAAAATGAACAATAAACAAATAAAACTAATAACACATCCTTAAAAATGACCAGAGAAAAGCAAGAAAATATTATGATGTCTTTCAATTAGATATATTACTATTTGCTGTTTAGAATAAATGCATTCACCTACATCCTGATACTCCATATCGATCACAGTTTCATCATCGTCATAAAACCCGAACATACTGTGCAGAAAAAAAAAAGAAACAAAGTGCAAAAAGTTGTCAAATGATTTTTTTTATGCACAATCTGAAAGCTAGAGATGGCAAATGTGCTGTAAAAAGGCAACACATAATCCTATAAACCTTCTGAAGTCCAAACGTCACTTTAAATATTTCTCACATTCATTCCAGTCTGCTACACAGCCACAGATTAACCCTTTAGGACCCCCTAAAATAGTCAAGTAGCAAAACTTAAAACCATTGACACAGCCATTTTAACAATCAAATAAGCAGTTTAAAAGTTGCTTTGAATTATTAACCATTTACAGTACAGATTTAGATGTTTTCAGTATGATTTTGTTTAATTCTTAGGCTTTCTTTCTATCTACAGTGCATTAGGAAAACTATTAGGATCATATTCTTAATTTCAGCTTATCCTGTAGGTAAATGATACGTTTTATAAAGATCACAATGTCCAGTGGGACTCCAAATTCATCATGATCCTACAGAACACAAAAGATGATGATCAACTTGGTTTACTTGGGCTTTGATCTGGAGTTAATAAGCGCATGCACATGAAGGCGGGACATCAGTAGCAAACAGCAAATCACGTGCCTTCAAACAAAGACACTAGGATTGACTCCTTCAGGGGGGAGTCAGCTCAATTTACAGCCAACAATTTTTAGAAAAGACTAAAATTAAAAAAAAAATTATTTAGCAAGACGAAAAGCTTTTGTTGTTAAAAATAAATAAATAATTTTTTTGTAGTATGGGTTATAATTTGTTGGTATACAGGGGCTCAAATCTAAGATAATCTAAAGCCTTATTTCTTGATTAAAAATAAAATGCTTAATTGCAGCAGCTATTCATCTGCTTTCATGGTACCTAAAAACCAGGATTGGTACAAACTAAACAGATTTTCCAGCTTCATGGTATTAAGTCTTGAACAGTGTTGGGGGTAACCCGAGTTACATAATAATATAAATTTTCTATGTAACAAACTAACTCAAGTATTGTCACTGCATTTTGTAAAGTAATTTAATTGATTAGCTTTTAAAAATAAATTGCTGAATTAAAATTAGTGCGATGAATCACGCAGTCAATGAGAGAGGGTTCATTATTTTTAACGCATCGGAGAAAAGGAAAAGGGGATATAGTCTCAATGGACAGTGATTTTACTCAAGACAAATCGTACAAAAGTAGCAAGCGCATTGCTCTAAACTTTCAATTATCTGTATATGGGCCATTCTTTAACTACCGGCACTTTTAGCCTTGTGAAGTGGTAAAGAAAACTTGTTCAAAATTAACAAAAATGTCCTCATAAGTTTAAACAATTTGCCTAGTTTTAAGACCTTTAAGGAGGACAAACTTGGATGAGAGAAACATTTTTTTTTTATTGTGAACTGAACAAATGTCAATTCCACCACATCTCAATATACAGCTTTTATTTCAAAATGAAATAATGGCAGTCAATCATTGTCCAAGATCATTTTTGTATCTAGTTTAACCAATCTTTCCACAATATATATAATAATTATACATTTGTCAAGGAAATAAATTACTTGTATGCTGAATTGTACACCTGTCACACTCTAAAAATGTATAATCATTTGGTTAAGAGCTTATTAGAAAATAAATAAACTGAATTTGTATATTAAATAGACTGAGCATGAACTTATACATTGTGAATACACATTTAATGTGCGATGAGAACTTTTTAAATAAACATTTTTTAAATGTGCTAGGTGATTGAAATGACAGTGGTGGAAATGACATTTCAACAGTTTATTGCGAAAAAATGAAAGATGGCTTCACCAATTAGCTTTGAATTGATACTAGCCTTTCATGTATACAAAACACTTATTTACCTTCATTTTGTTTGGTTTTTAAAAACATCTTTGAAGGTACAACATGTTTGGAAATGACATAGAAAAAAATGCATTTCCTAATCAAGCAATATTTATCTTGATTTTTTAAGTTGAAGTGTTAGGGAAGTGTTGAAGTGTTATTGTTGAATGCCCTCCATCTTGAACATGTTCTCAGA